CTTGATAAACAGCTTCTAAAATATGCAAGAATTACTTTTCAATACGCTGTCTGATGTAAACAGAGGACACATAGACGTTGATTTAATAACTTCAGCCTACCTAATTAAGCAAATTACTCAGATTTCCGGGAAATTGTCTAGATCGTTCTCTTTGCCCTTGGAAAATATTAGAGGAGATATCAAGAACGTATATAAATTGGATTGATAGAAAATATTTGTGATATTCAAATGCATGGTTGGTTATATAGTCGTCTCTTTTCCTCGCGGTCCGTACCTGCTATATTACTAACAGTGCATTCAGTACTGCGCGTAGAGTCAGAGAAATAAGGTCTTTATTCTTCCGCATATAGCAATAAGTCGTAATTTTACGAGCTTGCATTTCGAGAACTGTCATAACTCTATGACGCATTCGTTTTAATTAAGACCTTATGCAGTATGCATTAAAGGTGACTCAACGTTTTAATAATGCCCTATATGGTTTTTGACAACGCGATCATCTTACGGAGCTCCGTGGATCGTCCAATGTACCTTTTGACTGGTTTTGGATTTTCTCTCGGAGAAGTTTTCAATGTGGATTTTGTTTTAAGTAAAAGTTTTCTTTAGATTTATAAGTCAAGCAGATTAATCAACGATATTGAGATTCATGCTTGAAAATATAATAATAAATAATGTAGGTACCTTTTGATGAAAGAATTTTCGTAATCGGTTCTATAGTTTGACAGATTATTTGTTACAAACATAATATAACTCTTTATAATAATGCATAGATAGTTTGGATAAAACATTGAATTGATGAAAAAAATGTGTATAAAGACTAAGTAATAAATAGGTTTATTTGATTATATTTGTAAAAGTTACTTAGCATTTTTGGTTAACAGTGATTCGTTATTCGGTAATCTATACATACTTATTATTATTTTGTTTATAACTAGAAAAAAATATTTGGTAAATAATTTCTATGAGTGCAATCATTTATTTCCAACATCTACTAGGCTGGTAGCAGCCTGATTGATAGGTGGAAGTAGTACTCTTTATTCGATTTACACTACCAATAAAAAAGGGTAGACCAGAAAGCCTGCGACCTGTAACCGGTAAACGCTTTAAAAGAGAAAGACAAAGATGTTAATCTATACACTGGGTGATAAATTGATAATAAATGAGATTGCTATGGTGCTGTACCTAACGCTATGGAATTTTTATTATGGGCCTTCAGTTTAAACTTATATTATACACGTCGCTTTGGTGATCGTATAATTATTTAATTTAGCGATTTAAGGCCGTTGCCGCCAGTGTCCAAAACAACAGAAAGGAATAATTATTACTCTCGTCAACCTGCGATAATAACGTCATTGATTGTTATTGTATATTATTGATTGGTGATTAACAACATTTGAAGTTTAACCTTTGGCATCTACATATTTGGTTTTTGTGAATTATGTAGGTAAAACAATTGTGAGACAAGGATATTACATTGCATTTGTGTATATCACAATATTAGAGCCGGCCGTTGACAGTGCAGCCACTGCCAATTTTAAATAGTCGACGAATAAAATTATAAATAAATGATTTTTATATTTACTACTAAACTACTTAGAAGAACATAAACAAAAGATCGCTTTTTGAATAAGTAATAGTTAAGCATAAAATTTACATGCGTCAGATATACAGGGCGTCCCACGGCTACCTCACACGGTGGAAAAGTATATTAAATATTGAAGACAGGATATTTTACTGAAAGGAGACATCGTTTTATTTTTAATAATAACTCGAACTGCATTCACAGATTTTTTTAAAATCGCCTGCTACAACTAAGAATCAAACTCGTGAAATTTCGAAAATATAAACACAGCATATTTTATGATAACCATCGAAAGAGATACGAATACATAAAAGGGATACAATAAAGGCTTACGAAACAATATTAGAATTAAAAAAATGTACTCTAACTAGTTATACATAAAGTCCATTTTTGTTTCTAACTTCATCAGAGGGAAAAAAATACTCCAAGCAGGACAACGACGAAAGTGGAATATGTCCCTCTCTTGCAATTGCCAGTGTTAATAAAAATAATCAAATGGTAGTTTTCACATTATCCCGATAACCATTTTTATAAACAAGACAACAGTTTGAGAGTAAAAATTTGCATTTGTGTTTGATTTCAGTTAATATATTGATATCAATGCAACCAGAAATGTGTTTATTTTTAATTAAATGGAAAACATATTTAATAAAATTGTTTAAAATAGTAGTCATTGGTAGTAACTTGCATTTATGCATGAGAACACTTGCGATGCTTCCAATAAACAATATGGCCGATATTCTACCCGATTGAAGTCCAATTTATGCTAACTACAAATTATTTACAGCGAACTCTTCTGATTTGTGTAAAAACTGTCTGCGCAACTAAATAATTAGTGGAATCATTCAAATATACGATATTCCGGTCAAGTGGACGTGATTAATTTATTGAAGTGTTGACTACCTCACAAAAGCTTATCGAGAAAGCTGACTCAATACATTTTGTGCCATACACTCCAAAAACACAATGTGTCACACCCACATTCCAATATAAAAACAGAATAAAGAAACTGAAGACTAGGCTGTATGAGCATTATGCCCTTTGCCTTTCCTGAAAAGGGAAAATGTTAAAAAATGGGTCAATTGGTTGACATTGACATACTTAGTGATGTTACTCGAATGACGTATTTCGACATGACGCACTCGCTAGTGAAAAACAAGTCACAAACAGTGCCACTCGAATGGAAATAAAACTCGAGTTCCTTTTTTACCCGGCTGCGCAATGCAAGAGCGCGAAGCGCGACGCGCAGACAGGGTTATGTGTTTAACAGTCTATATATGTATGTTTGTTCCTTTGTGGCACACTAGAGACCAAACGCCTGGACCGATTTTGATGATTCATACATTAATCGATTCGTCTCAATCATGGGAGTGCTACTAAAGATATGATAGTAATCAAAATTCAATATGGGCAAAATTAGGCGCCATATTATGACGAAGTAAAAAAAATAAGTTGACAAAATATGTCGAGTGGGGTATCACTGTCTAGATAATCAAAAATCATATTTAGGTTCCTAACACCATTTTTCATTTTATATGATTGTTTAGGATCTACAACGCTTTAAAGTTGTATATTAACCACTTACGCTTTTAATTTCAATCTTACGTTTGTATGGATCTTTGTTACTCTTTCACCTAAAAAATACTGAATGGATTTTAATGAAACTTAACAGTAATATAGCTCATATATGATAATTACATATATATAATAATTTATGTAGTTAATGAGTGAATTGGCCAATATATAACAATAAGTGTCACATAAGACGGAAAAAAATCTCCCATCTGCGAGTCATTTTGGCCTGCACTGCAAAAACAATAAAAGTTACATGAATGTAATGTAGAGTGAAAATGTATCTCTTAAATAGTTCTAAAAAAAGTCCGTGACACCATATATCTATTTTTAATGTGTAAGTCATTACCGCTAAAATAGTGAATCAAAACTAAAATATTATTTGATATCTATTTCCAAAATGCACATTTTGTATTAACAAATCATTTTTTATCAAAACAAATAATTTTATCGCTTTTGATATTTAAAGACGATAAACTTTGCTTTTTACACTATGTCATTTCGACAAATATTTAAAAAGTTACAACGATGACAAAGTGATAGCGCGGTGTACTATGTAAAAGAAAAAAAAATGGGGTATTCGCAGTATCTGATCCTATACGAAGTACTAACAATAAAACTGTGATACAGTTCCTTCTTATTAAATGATGAAAAATATATTATCATAATAGGTATTTATGATTATTGAATTTTAATGAAAAACTCTGAATCTTACTGTTTTTCATTTTTTTAACGATATTACTTAATGTTACAAAAAAGGTTTATTTAATATAATGACAAATAACCCATTTTTCGCTAGTAAGTACATACTTATTGGAATCCCTGTATTTATTAATCAGCTCGCGATAATATTGGTTTTGTAATAATTCTGCAAAATTCAAAGTAAATAATGTAGATTTTTATAGGTAAATCACCCCTTTCATCACCCTACGCCTATAAGTATTGCGATGTTGTAGCTAAGAACCAAGTTCCCATCTACTTCTATATGGGAATTCATTATATTCGATTTAGCTATTAGGGCACGGAAGCGCAACAAACAAACTCACTTTCGCATCTATAATATTATATTATACTTACTAGTGAGGGCACCCACCCGGGCATTGTACGGGCGAAATTTATTTATCGGGATAAAATATAGCCTATGTCACTCGGACAAAATGTATTTAAATAAAGAAAAATGTTATAATAAATAATGTAGCTACCTTAAATCAATCTTTTAGACCGACGCAAGGTACTTAATAATTCCCGCGATATTAATTCCCTTACTGAAGTAACAAGACTACGGTATATACTGTCTTAAAATACCAACTAACTAAAAAGTGTGAAATAAAAAAGGTAAATTTAAATAATCAAAAAACCCGACTGCTTAATTATACCCACTGTTGAAAAATATTATGTATTCTTGAATATCTAATGGGTCCCGACTGTTAAAGTAGCTTTGTTCCTTATTAACAGAATTATAGACTACTGGACTTGTTTTTTTCTTTTCAGTTTTATTTGAAGTATAATTAAGCAGTCGGGTTTTTTGATTTTTTAAATTTACCTTTTTTTCATTCTTAATCGCCTTTCAAAGCCAAATCATTCGAGTGCCATTTCAGTCAAAATGAGGCTATAGTGTATTTACTTTTTATAAAGTAAATGACATAAACAAATTACCGAATATTATAAATCTAATCTTAATTTTTCATAGCTTTTGTATTCTATATAAATAAAAGAAAATCGTAATTGGTATTAACATAAATTCTTTTCGAGTTGATACAGGCCACACGAGTGTCCGAGTAACAAGTTCACTCGAGTTAATTGTAAATCGAGTTGTTTTACAAATATCACTCGAATGCGAGTACATTATAGCTATTCCAGTAACTCTGAAAATACTGAAAAATGGCACAAGTCTCATCACTTTAAATAGTAGGCGTATTTTCGTTTTCGTAGACAATATTTTTAATTCCGAGATATTTGACATTTACAAAAAACTTCCTTGAATTAATGTATATGTATAATTTATTAATGCTTTCAAGATGATGAACCAATATATAAAAGAATTAGAACAAGTGAGTTAAATTTCTTATGTTTTGGTTATAAATTGTTTATTGTTGTACCTATTCTAACGTTGTTTAAAAATATTTATTTAAATTTTTACAAGGACCCGTTCGATCCAGATGAGTTTGTTGAAAGAATGGTACGTCGGGGAATGTCTGAATCCCGCCTACAGGATGATCAGTTTGACCCTGAAATGATACATGATATATTTACCCAAGCCATACAGGATTTAAAGGTAGGTAATGTTTATACTTGATTTACCACTTGCATAGTTATAGCCGGGGTAATGTACATTTCCTATAATTAAAAGAAACTGCTCGCCTGTGCGAAGCTGCTGGGGACCCAAGATCTGGTACTAGCTTTTTTGCTCAACAAATTAGTTTGGCGATCAAGCAAGGCAACGCTGCCAGTCTTCTGGGGACCGTGCCCCGCACAGGCAAGCTCAATGGAATATTTGATTTGTAATTATTGTTGTACTGTTTAATAAAAAATAAATAAAAGTAAAAAAAATGAAACAAAAGTTTTAAACTAACAATGACTATAACATTGCTTTTCATTTCATTCATATAGGGACTAAAACTTTTAAATACCTAGTCAAAATATAAATAATACAAATAAATTATATTATTAGTATTCTTGATTGGTTAATTAAGTGTTCCTGTATGAGAATAGCTTATGTAGTTTAGTCAGAGCATATTTTATTTAATGCTAGTATGAGCGTACCATATCTCCCTTTTTTGTTTTAATCTAAGACTGTAAATCACAATCCTGCTGATTTGTCACAACTAAGTACCTTACCTTATCTTAACTTTAACATGACTAATGAATAATATGTACATTAAACAGAAAACTGCATGTAAAGTGGTAACTTACCGTTTTCAAACATAAATTTGTGTTTGGTTCTGGAGTGCAATACCCATGACGTAATGCATTGCAACTATAACTTCTATCTCAGAACCATTATAAACGTAAGGCATTGGTTATACCTGAAAAATTATAATATTTTTTGTCTACCCCCCATGCTTTAAAACCTGTATTAAAGATACTAAAATAGTTAGCTTATTGCCAACCTTAAAACATCCAATATCATAAATATACAAAATACAAATACAAAATACAAAAGCCTTTATTGCTGATAATTACATAAAAAAACACATCTTTAACATTTTTACTTATAATTCAGCGTGTCCTGTAGACACATAGGCCTCCTCCAGCCTTTTCCACCCCACTCTATCCCTTGCTATCCTCAGCCATAGCGGGCCAGCTACCCTTCTTAAGTCATCCGACCATCGTTTCAGCTGTCGTCCACGATTACGGTAAGTTTTCGTTCTGGGGATCCATTCCGTGGTCTTCCTTGTCCACTTCCCTGTTTCGTCTCTTGTGACGTGACCTGCCCACTTCCATTTGATTTGTCTACTTTTTCGAATGACATCCTCAATTTTTGTGAGTTTTCTGATGTTGGTAGCTCTCTTCTTGTCACTCCTTCTGTATCCAAGAATACTTCTCTCCATGCCTCTCTGACACGTTCTTAGTTTGTTTTGCAGTGCTTATGTCATGGCCCAAGTCTGGCAACCATATGTTAGTATTGGCAAGATAAATGTGTTAAAGAGTTTTCTTTTCACTGATATGGTGTAGTGGGCATTCTTACTGATATCTTTTAGAGACCAGTATCCTTTCCAAGCATTACCAATCCTTCTGTCGGTTTCCTGTGCCATCTGGTCTTGAAATGATACAAGCTGTCCGAGATAAATGTACGATTTCACATACTCCAACTTTTCGTCATTGAGATAGATGTTGGTTTCTAACCTGTTTGTCATGACCTTGGGTTTTTGACCTGTTAAATGTTTCCCAATCCATGGTTTTCATGACTTCTTCTAGGACAGCTGTAAACAACTTTGGCGAGAGGGGGTCTCCTTGTCTCACACCTTTTTGGATTGGAAAGCTTTCACCATATGTCTCCAGTTTTACCCTATCATAAATATATAATTAAATAAATTTCATAAAAACACTCTCGCTTATAAATCCTTTCCGCGCCAAAAGCTTGGGCATCAGATATCCACAATTTTCACTGCTAAACCACAGTGCCAATACTTTACATGAATTTTAAGTTCTTAGAACGCCCCATGTATTCAGAATCTTTTATAGAAGATTCATATTATCTTGTATGCAACTGTTATAATTTGGTCTTAAAACACTCATATTTTACTATTATCAAGCCACATTTGTGTTTTAATATCCTTCATTATACAACAGTTGCATAAATAAATTATTAATGTCTACTTACAGGTTTTACAAGAAAGACAAGAAAGGAAGTGTGCAAGATTGGAACAAGCAGTTCAAGAGGAGGAGAAGTTGTATGGAGCAAGACTTTCTGAAATCATGGATCAGCACACTGTAAGAATATAAAAAAAAACTTTTTTTTTTGATTTTGTAATATGATCACAGTCTATGTACATTGCCTACCCTGTCCGTTTGTGAAAAAATAAATGTTTACTACTTACTAGTGATAAATAAATTAGGTATAGTGAATATGAATCATTACAAAAAACACACAGATTTCATAACCGACCAGTTGCAAAAGACTGTATAGTCCAAGGAACTTATATACTAACTGGAATGCTTACGCAACCCTCAAAATCGTTCCAAGAGCAAAGCTGATTTGGTGGATTCTGTCTAATTCTAGTAGTGTGCCCAAACAGTTTGCAAGAGAAGGACAGATTCTACTTTCGTTGTGTCGCGCTAGGAGTATTTTCCCCTTATGAAGATAGAAACAAAAATGGACTTTATGTATAACTAGTTACATTTTACATTTTTAGAGTACATTTTTTGAATTCCCATATTGTTTCGTAAGCATTCCAGTTTGTATATAAGTTCCTCGGTATAGTCACAACATGACATGCGATGTGCAGAATAGTAACACATAAATTAGTATTAAATATTTACTATTTGTGTTTAATGAAATTGGTATACCGTCGTGAAGTAAGCTGATTCAGCAGAAATGTTTTCGGCTCCAGCCATCTCTCTTGGCAGCCTTAAGCCAGGTCTCCTGCCCCAATTTTCTAACAAAGAATTTTAGCAAAACAGACAGTCCGCTGCGGCTGTTTTTTGCTAACAAAACTGTCAGGCCACACCCCTGAAGACGTGGCTGCTGTTCTGTCAATAGAATTCTTTCTCCAAAGAAGAAACAAAAATACATTCTGGTTGTTAAATATTTATCAAGAACTGAAAATTTATAAGTATGGTATATTTTTTTTTCAATAATCAGAAAGTTATTTTCAATAGATTTTTTTCTCATTAGTTGTATAGAAAACATGATAATTTCTTTATTTCACTCTATTACAAAACAGCCTAAAGGCATGTCCTGTATATCGACTATGAGCACCGGGCTATAGGTCTTGTTTTATATTAATACGCGACATATTTTACTTTACAATTTTATGTAACAGTATTTATGGCCAGACTAGTTATTCGTCGCGGGAAACATGTTATTGAATTTTTGTTATAAATACTGCGGCCGCGCCCCTAACCGGTTAGTAAACGATGTTATCGTGTTTAGGAAACAAAAAAACACTGCGCAGTAGAACCAGATATAGAGTGCGATTTAAACTTCTTGGTTACTGTAAAGTTAGCAGTGAGCGCAACTATGCATTAATTTCAGCTCAATGAAACCCCGCTCATTTCAAACGTACGTAACACCTTAACACCACAACAACAAATATAGTGTTGTTTTACTGTTTGTAATAATGATGTGTACCTATTTCAGCACTGCGTGAACGTTTTTAGCTCATTGGATGAACGTATGTCGCGGTGTGGAGGCAGAGCTCTCGATGTTGGGGAGAAATTAGGCGCTGCAAGAGCACCTCGAGCTAGGGCTGCAGCAGCCAGAGACCTGCTGTCTCATCTGACTCACTTCCTTAGCCCAGGGCCTGTTATCACGGATCTGTTTAATGACTCTAATAAGGTAAACCCGTTTATAATATTGTAGTAGATTTTCTGATTTCCTCGGAAAACCCAATAATAATGAATCTCAGAGGGATGTTACAGATAAGAAATTATTTGATTTCACCCATGTTATTTCAGCTCAACGAAGCAGCTGATGTTATACAAAAGCTTCATACTATAGCTCAAGAATTACCACCTGATAAATTTGAGATAGCTAGAAAGAAAATAGAAACAAAATATGATGAAATTGAAAGAAATCTTATCGAGGAGTTTGTGAAAGCTCAGAACCAAGGCAATATGGTTAAAATGAAGGAAATTGCCGCCATTATGACCAACTTTAAAGGATATTCTCAATGTGTTGATGCTTTTATAGAAACCAGTCAAGTGGTACGTATGTCAGTTTTTTTTAAGCTTAAGGTTAGTTAATTTGATTAAAAAATAACTTAGTAAAAAAAAATTGATTGATTTTAACAGGTATTTATATTTTAGGCAATCTGATGAAAATAATATCTACAGCTACATATTTTAACAAACAATAATATTTAAATCTAAATAAATTTTATCAAAAAAAAAACACTCAGACAAAGCCTTGCAGCCTAAGAAATACTAGAGAAAATTCGACACGGCCATGAGGGCTGCGGTAGCATAATGGTCAGTGCATTCGCCCCGATAGCGAAGGGTGCGGTGCGGTTTCGAGTCCCGTCTTAAGCCTGTTCCACTGGAAGTATAATTCTCTTTAGATCTAAACATCTATCAGTTAAATGTTAAAAAATATTTAAAGATATAATCAATGATATTATTAGTAGAATACATAAATCATTATTATGGTGTAAACTAAGATTTCGCTTATACCTTGTCTATATCCTTTTCTTGATTTAATTAGATAAACCTTTCTGATTTTATTTCATTTAATATCTGATAGGATATCGTTTGGTGAGGAGGAAACACACTTTTTTTTTAAATATTCCATTAAGGTTAAATACCGTTTTCTTAAACAAGTATTATGAACTATGATTAGTCTGGTTGGTAAATCTATACATATAATAAAATGGTAAGAAAGTCAAAACTGTACATTGAATATTTTTTTAAAAGAATATTTGGGGTTGTGATCTACAATCAATACCAAAGCCAAAAATATAATTTTTAGAACTTTTGTCTGTTTGTCTGTATGTATGTCCGGGATAAATTCAAAAAGTACTGCATGGATTTACTTCAAATTTGGCACGAATATTATTAAGAAGTCGGGTCAATATATAGCCTACGTATTATCACACTAACACCTACGGGGAACGAGCAGTGAACCTTTATTTCTAACTAACTCCATGCGTACGAAGCCGCGGGCTAGTCAATAAAATAAACTCATTTAAGTATGCTCATGTATTTCTAACTCAACAGTTTTTCATGCCCTTTTGTGTTAATTCTGTATTTTCTAGAATACTCTACTTGGCAAAGACATTTTTAGCGCAGTGTTACCACTATGCAAAAAGAACTACACCATCATCAGCAATGTATTTCCGAATCCTGACCAAGTTATGAGCAAGTTTGTTTTGAACATTTTCCACCTGAAGTTACAAAAGTATATTCAGACAAAACTTGCGGACAAAAGTGATGTTGACAAATATTTAAGGAATCTCTATGATATGTATACCAGGTAAATACGATACAACTACACTAAATCTTTTCAAGTCACAAAAACCGTTCATAATATAACTTTTTGTCCTTAAAATAGCAACATTTCATTTTTATTTGTGCTTAAACTTTTTTTTATAAAGGATTCTTTCTCCTAACCAGTGAGCAATCTGTATGTCATTTATTTTGTTGGAAGCGTGAGTCTTTCTGACATGTTATTGTGGTAATGGTGTCGATTCTGGCATGATTCTATAAACTTAAAACTAAATTTAACATCAGTCTCTCCTTTTCATTCTGTTTAGAGAATAACAAGGATACGCTGTTGTCAAATTTAAGTTTAGGTTTAAACAATCATGTCAGAATCGACACCGATATTTAATACCTGGTCTGAAATCTTAATCAATTTGGAATGCTATCCCAAACAAAATAAAGCTCTAAGTCAGTTGGAGAAAAAAAAACTATTTTGGTGTTTTGATCGGTTTCTAATACGTAATCATATTTACATAAAAGTAAGTTGTAAAATTTTTAACTGCACTAAGCTAAGAGCGAGGCATCCCTACACAAGTATTTATTATTACTATATTTATTATTAAAAAAAAAAAAACTTTCTGGATTGTCTCACCTTGTACTGTAAACTGACTCTTTGGGAAATAAAAACCAATTTCATTTCATTTTAATATCTAAGAAAGTTTGACTTGGAAAAAAATACACGCGGCCTAGGTGCCAGGTTGAATCATATCGAAATCATCGCCCTAATAGGATAGCGAATATCGTTCTAGTTCAAAACAACTCAAACACCTGAATATTTTCGCTTAACATTTATAAATCTATGCTAGAATCTTTATGAATGTGACGAAAATGGGAACTAACACCGCCGTCATAATTTGTAGGTCATTTTTGGGCATTTACGTAGACAGTGGCGCCCTCCCTGAACTGTCCATCACATTCATAGAGATCCTTGTCGCACTGTAGCGGTTTAGGGTTGGTAATCAAGGTGTTTGTTTCATGTTATTTCATATAGCAACGCTGTGCAGCGCTGCTCTATGAAATGACATGAAAATGCACGCGGAGCGGACGTCCAGTCCGTGCTGCCACTTAACGCAGCCCAGGATCTAAATGTTTAAAAACAGAAACACATCTAATATATAAAATTCTCGTGTCACGGTGTGAGTAATTAAACTACTCCGAAGCGGCTCGACCGATTTCGTGAAATTTTATATATTCCGTAGGTCTGAGAATCGGACGGGGGGAGGGTTATGTGGCGGCACGATGGGGAGAGGTGATGGTGGTATCCACCTACTTCTCCCCCAACCGCAGCAGGGCCGATTTTGAACGGTTCCTCGCTGCGGTGGAAGGGGTCGTGCACCGCGCGGCCCCTCGTCAGGTGCTGGTGGCCGGGGACCTCAACGCGAAATCGACCGCGTGGGGGTCCCGCCGCACTGACGTCAGGGGTGGTGTTCTGGAGGCCTGGGTGTTTGCCCTGGGTCTCCAAATCCTCAACCGAGGAACCACCCCAACCTGCGTCCGGTGGCAGGGCACGTCACTCATTGACGTGTCTGCAGCGCCGCCATGCCGAGGGCGCGGGTTGGCCCACGGAGGAGTGGGCAGGCATACTGGTGGACGCAGGAGCTCACGATCCTGCGTACCGCCAGTATGGGGGCCAGGCGCGCCTACCAACGATGCCGTAGGCGTGCCAGACGAGCGCCCGGCGAAGAGGAGGTCCTCCGCCGGGCGTACAACAAGGCCCACACGGCCCTGCGTATTGCCATCTGCAGGGCCAAGGTCGCTGCCTGGGATGATTTTCTAGCCATCCTGGACAGCGACCCCTGGGGGAGGCCGTATCGGATGGTGAGGGGGAAGTTCGCTTCGGCGGCCCCCTCCACGTCCGATATGGAGCCCGCGCTGCTGAGAAGGGTGCTGGGGACACTTTTCCCAGACCCCGGGCCCTTCGAACCCCCCAGGATGCCCCCCGGTTTTGGTCCGGGGGCGTGGGCTGCTGGCCCCCCGTGTCTGATACAGAACTCGACACGGTGAGGGACCGGGTCCGGAGCCGCAATAAAGCTCCGGGGCCGGACGGGGCCCCGGCCAACGTAATGGCTATTGCCTTGGGCCCCCTGCGAGAGCGATTCCGCGCGGTGCTGGATGCATGCATCGCGACGGGTCGCTTTCCCAGGCGCTGGAGAGTGGGGCGACTCTGCCTTCTTCGCAAGGAAAGCCGCCCGGCGGACTCCCCAGCGGGCTACCGGCCGGTGGTGTTGCTCGATGAGTCCGGGAAGGCTTTTGAGAAGATTCTCGCCTCCCGGATCATCAAGCACATCGAGGGTGACGGGCCGGACCTGGCGGAATGCCAGTACGGCTTCCGAACCGGCCGGTCCACGATGGACGCGGTTGGCCGTCTCAAGAGGTGGACTGAGGCGGCCACAGCTCGGGGGGAGGTGGTGATCGCGGTGTCCTTGGACATCGCGAACGCGTTCAACACCATCCCCCACGAGTGCATAGAGGCGGCGCTCGAGTTCCACCGAGTGCCACTCTACCTCCGCACCCTCGTCCGGGACTACCTGCGAGACAGGTCAGTCCTGTACGAGGATGCGGAGGGCCGCGTCCAGTCGTGGCCAGTGAAGGCAGGCGTACCCCAGGGTTCCGTATTAGGTCCCCTCCTATGGAACCTGGGGTACAACTGGGTCCTGCGGGGTGAGCTCCTGCCGCGCATGGATGTCGTCTGCTTTGCGGACGACACCCTTGTAGCGGCGAGAGCGAGGAGGTGGGAGAAGGCGGTCCACCTTGCGTCGGTCGGCACCTCCATGATCGTCCGACGCATCCGCCTCCTGGGACTGGAAGTGGCCCTCGAAAAGACGAGGGCCATGGCCTTCCACGGTCCCAGATGCAGGACCCCGCCGGGGCTCCGTGCCCAGGTAGAGGGGGTGTGGGTTCCGGTCGAGATGCATCTCAAGTATCTCGGCCTGACCCTAGACCCCCGATGGAGCTGGGAGGAGCACTTCAGGCTCCTCGCTCCCCGGCTGTGCGGCGTCGCAGCCGGACTCGGTCGCCTCCTCCCCAATGTGGGGGGGCCGAAGGCGAAGTGCCGTCGGCTTCATCACTCCGTGATAAAGTCGATGGCGCTGTATGGGGCCCCGGTCTGAGCGGAGTGCCTCTCGTCCCGCACGAGGGCCCTCCTGCGAAGACCGCAGAGGGTCATAGCGACCCGGGCCGTGCGGGCTTACCGCACGGTCAGCCACGGGGCTGCCTGCGTCCTAGCAGGCACGCTCCCGTGGGAGATTGATGCCCTGGTACTGTCCCAGGTGCATCAACACCGGGTCGCGGCGAGAGAGCGGGGCGAGCGACCCGTTCTAGAGGAGATAGAACGGGTCCGCACCGAGGCGCAGAGAGAGGCTCTGCGCCGATGGGTGGAGGCACTCGCCAACCCAGCCGCTGGCCACCGCACGATCGAGGCGATTCGTCCGGTGTTGGAGGAGTGGGTAGGGCGCCAGCGGGGCACCCTCACCTACCGCCTGGTGCAGGTACTGACCGGACATGGGTGCTTCGGTCACTACCTGCACCGAGTCGCCCGTCGGGAGGAGACGCCGCGGTGTCATCACTGCGCCTCTCCCGACGACACGGCCGAGCACACGTTGATCGTGTGCCCGGCCTGGCGAAATGAGCGCGGCGCTCGGCGGAGGAGGCCTCACGCTGCCAAGTATGGTAAGAGCCATGCTTGGTAGCGAGAGAGCCTGGAGGGTTGCCGCCTCCTTCTGCGAATCGGTGATGACGCAGAAGGAGGCAGCGGAGAGGGAGCGGGAGGACGCTCTAGCCTCCCTTCTCCGGCGTAGACGGGTGGGCCGAAGAAGGCAGGCGGCGGTGACTGCCGGTCTTCGACGGCCCTAAGGTGCTCTGGGCGCGGCCTGACCAGCCGCGCGTCCTAGGTGCCGCTCCGGCATAGGCCACCACGTCTGGGGACTGCCTAGTACCCTAGCGCAGTCCCCCTGAGGCGCGTCGCCCGGTCCACTCGTTGGGCCGGGCCTGCCCGGGGGCGTACTCGGAGATGTGGCGCACGCAGGTGCGTCGGCCCCGAGACCGCCCCCATATGGGCGTAGGAGGGTACCGGGGGGTTTTAGTGGAGTAGGATCAGTGTGGCCTTCCGCACTGGTCCTGCTTGAGTAGGGTCGGCACTGTTTCCCGTGCCGGCGAGTCCCACACACGCCGTGCACCTAGTCAGCGTCACGGTATGGTGCGTAACTGCATTTCCCCTGAATCGGACAACTTCTATTTTTTATCCCCCTAAATGTAAAGGGCAGTCCACCCTTAAATATTTTTTTGGACAATTTCTTTTTGTTTTTATTTATTTATGATACATCATACAAAAATCCATACAACCCTAAATTTTCACCCTTGTACCACCAACCCCTACTTTTTTATGACGGTATGAAGTTCGCTGGGGCAGCTAGTGATTTATAAAATCTCAACATTTATGAAACCTACCTTTGTTTTATTTATATTTGTTTTAGTACACAGCGGGTGTGCGATGAACTAGTGGCCGCCGGGTTAGTTTCCGCTGACGGCAATTCAAATACTGGTGATTTGCGACGAGAGGCATTAGTTAACGGGGCAATGGCCGGCGCTAACGACGGTTACCCCGCTCTGGAGGGGAGGAGACTGAAAGCTGCATTAGCCAACGCTCTAAACAACTACTATACTGAGAAACAACACATCAAGAAGCAGATACAAGGCGGAGGGTGAGTATAAGTTAGATAAGTTTGATTTTAAGAGAGATTAGGCATAGCGGATTTACCGCTCAAATTGGAGCTCCCGTCTGTGGAAGTACCCTCCACCTTACAGAAGATCACAGTAAAGCCTCGATGTCATGGTGCGAGTTTACAAGCTGCAAGCCAGCGAGTTTACTCGCAGCTTGTAAACTCGCCCCGTGTCATCGGTTTTTTACCATCTGCAACTCAATGATACGGGGCGAGTTTACAAGATACTAGCGAACTCGCTGGCTTTTAGCTTGTAAACTTGCCACGTGTCATCAGCTTTTTTACCATCTGCTACTCGATGATACGGGCCGAGTTTACAAGCTTCTAGCGAACTCTCTTGCTACTCGATGATACGGGGCGAGTTTACAAGCTACTAGCGAACTCGCTGGCTTTAAGCTTGTGAACTAGCCCCGTGTCATCGGCTTTTTTACCGTCTGCAACTCGATGATACGGGGCGAGTTTACAAGCTACTAGCGAACTCGCTGGCTTTTAGCTTGTGAACTAGCCCCGTGTCGTCGGCTTTTTTACCATCTGCTACTCGATGATACGGGGCGAGTTTACAAGCTTCTAGTGAACTCGCTTGCTACTCGATGACACGGGGCGAGTTTACAAGCTACTAGCGAACTCGCTATCTTTAGCCTGTAAACTCGCCCCGTGTCATCGGCTTTTTTACCATCTGCAACTCGATGATACGGGGCGAGTTTACAAGCTACTAGCGAACTCGCTGGCTTTTAGTTTGTAAACTAGCCCCGTGTCATCGAGGCTTAAAATAACGTGTTGTGTTTCTGTCGATGAGTAAGGTTCCAGGGCTCCCAAGGCTAGGCAACAGCGCGAGTGATATTTTTTGTATCGCTAGCGTCTATAGGCTATGATGACTGCTTACCATCAGGTGGGCCATACGCTTGTTTGCTTTGTTTGCTGACATAAAAATAATGAAAGAAACACGAAAAGCTTATACATGAACATTCAATTCAATGCATTTAAATTACATTAAAACAAGAATAATAATAATAAGAGCATACAAATTACGATCAAAAATAAAATAAATACAAAATTACAAATGTCAACAACAAAGTAATTATAATAAATACAAAATTACAAATATTTGTTTCTTAGGTTTTCACGCACATCACTCATTAAATAAAACTAGTTTTTACGGGTTAATGCACGAAACTTTATTTATTTATTGACGTTTCGCAGCCTTTTCAGGTCTGCATCGTCAGAATAATGATTTTTTATTTAAAATTGTCGAGCTACCTTCGAAAGACTTATATTGAGCGTTCGGTTATTTCATTGGAAGATTTTTAAAATTTTATTGTCTATGTATGAATTTATTATTTAATTTACTTAATAAAGTATTTTTATTTAAAATTCTTGTTTGTAATTTTGAGTTTATTTATTTGACCCTAACTACCGTAAACTACCACCGGTTCCAAAATTGGGAGACCTTCCTGAGAAGAACCGGCGAAACAAACTCAAGAGAGGCTTTCTATCTCCTTCTTATGTTAAATTATGCAAACAAAAAGAACTAATAGTATCTGATGGTCTTGCCGAGCACACACTGCACTGCACTGCACTGGAACCGGAATTCACAAATTCACTTTAAAAATAAATAAATAATTTTAATAATAATTATATTGTAATTTAGTGTCTAATGTTATAACAATATAGATAATGGTACGAAATCCTTCGTGCGTGTGTGCATTTTTTTTTATTTTGTATTTATATTTATTTTTGTATTTACTGTAATTGGCTAAAGTACTGTTTAAAAATTTAAATTAGAATATAATGTGTAAAACGCAGTTGAAACTTGTTGATGATAAATAAATAAAATAAATAAATTTATTTTATGCAACAGTTTCCAAGAACTCCGACGCGACTTGCAAGCTGTGATCGGTACGCGCGCGAACATCAACATCGCCCAAATTGAGAATTACGGTGGCGAAACTTTCCTCAGCGAAACTCTGGTGCAGAAAATGCTCAACGATGCCAAAACCTCATTCGTGCGATGTAAAACGGTGAGATTTTTTTACATCATCATCGTCAGCCTATTATTGACTATACTACTGGGGCACAGCCTTTCCCCATGGATCGAATCCGGAGATTATTCCATTAACCACCACGCGGTCCCACTGCGGATTGGTTTGCTAACAACTGCAGATGCAGCCGGGACCAAAAGCTTAAGGTGCCTTCCGTAGCACGTAGGAGCTTTAGATAGTACATTTTTGGTCACCCACCCTACGACCGACCACTGCTAAAGTTGCTTAAGTTCAACTATCGTAAACGAACGCGCTAACTACTTGCACCATCGCTCTTCAACATACATGACGCATAGTCCTTCCAAAGCAAGGACGAACTGGAGATAATAAATTTTTGGTCACCAATACTATGAACGTTGCGAAAGTTGTTTTTAGTGCAACTGTTCAATGTGCGCTAGTGGCGGTCACTAATCGCGGAGTTTTTGAAGTAAACCTTCTTTTCGGGCGGGGTGTAAATGGAAAAAATTAAACGGAAATGCATCACGGGTGTCACACGACTATATGTGTGTGTGGGATGCTTACGCAGCTCTTCCCGACGAGTATGAATGTCGGAGGGTAACTCGGCGAAGGCTGAAACGCTACGAGCGTACATACCTATACGTATGTACATATATATGAGTCAAGCGTGCGCTGCTTCATTCCCCTTATGCACCGCCTAATGTTAGTTTATTTAAGAAAAGAAGTTACACATCAGATGTTTGGTCCGTGCATACATTTTTTTTTGATACATTTTGTATAGTCCAATGTATTTGACAGTATGATAAATTATGTAACAATATTGTTGGCATCTGTATTTAATATGAATATTAGCAGCGATTTTAATGTTTTGAAAGAACAAGTAATAATAACTTTTCCATAAAATCTGATCGATCAATCTACAGCAGATTCCTCCAGAGAATAAATTTTTGACTATGCTAAAAGCTGTGATTCTGACGAACGGATAGCTTTCATTTCTATTGTAAGCGGTACAAAGTACGTCGGGTAAGCTAATAAGTAGTAAGTATTTAAATAAACATACATAAGAAATCTGACAATTCTTTCTATTTTTATTTAAACTTTATTGCCACAATTACAAAATGGTCGAAAGGCGGACTTAACGCTAAAAGCATTCTCTGCCAGTCAACCTTCAGGAATACAGAAAGACACGAATGCGGCTTTAGTAAAAAACGAGCGAGCCTTACAGTAGTCGCGTATGATGTGTAACATTTGAAACCTCACCTTATATTAGTAAAAAAATAAATAAAACCTACTACAAAAGGACTAAGCTATTTGAACATTGTTCTAAAATCGAATCAAATAGCACACGCTTGCGTGGCTTCCTGTTACACACTTCCGTCCCATTTCACGAAATCAATCCCACAAATTGCAGAAAAGCGAGAGGAAAGATGTTACACATCAAAAAGATTATTTCTACGACATAATGTAACAATATTTTTGTTTGAAATGGATTTTTGCGTTATTTGTAGTTATGCACACCGAATGAACTTCCTGGAACGACTATTGGCCTGCTAGAAGTGTTGATTCAGAATTTACTGGTGGAACATGTGGACTACGCCTTAGACTTGGGTCTCCAATCCATTCCGATTGCAGAAAGCAAATCACCACCTCAGGTATATATTTGTTATGTTTTGATAAACCCCGGGTTCAAATCCCAGTAGGGGCAGATGTTTGTGTGATGAATAAGAGCATTTGTACTCCAGTCATGGATGTTCAATATGTGTTTCTATATATGTATGATATCCGTTAGCCTAGTATCCCATAACAAAAGCCTACAGTACTTACGTTAGGGTTAAGCTAAATGGTGTATGTTGAAAAAAAAAACAAACAAACCACTTGCATGAAATACAAAATAGAAATAAATTTCAAAAGGTTTTATAGAATTTCATTTAATTTCTAAAGCGGAATGTTAAAATGTAGAGGTAAATATGTAGTCCTCACGCCATATTGGCACATGGTGTCGAGTTGCGGAAACAGCCCGTCCTACTACGTCTAATTCAATTATTATGAACTAGCTGTGCCCCGCGGTGTTACACGCGGTTTATTGGGGATATTTTCCCGCAGTAAGACGTAGCCTGTGTAATCCAGGGTGTCAGCTAACTCCGTACCAAACTTTGTTAAAATCGCTCCAGCCGTTTAGCCGTGAAGATGTAACAAACATACCCACACACAAACTTTCGCCTTATAATATTAGTTTGATAAATGCATTATTTAAACCATATTCTATCTTTATTGGTTTCAAACAGTTGTCAAAAATAGTAACTTATACTAATATTGATTTAAATTTTTCAGATATATTTCTTCGACATCGTCAAACAAGCGAATGCTATAGTAAAAATGTTTAATGATCACTTTCAAGAATCCATATTGCCATGTAACAGGTAAGAATTTAATTTGACGACCTGCTTTTTTTGAATGACAATTAACTAGCGCAAGAATAAGTACAGAATGCTCCGTCTAGTTATTTCACGTGCCCTTAAAAAAAATACCTCAGAACAATACAGCCTGGATGTCAGCAAAAAAAATTAAGGAAAATTTTTAAATTTAAGATTTTAAAAATGATCATTTCATGACGGAGGTCGTCCTCCACGGCCGAGTGGTTTTTATGCCAGGTTTCAAGGTGTCGCCTACTCGAGAGATCCCTCCCGTGGTGGTGCCCTCGGTGGGGGCAGATGTTTGTGTGATGAATACGAGCATAATGTACTCCAGTCATGGATGTTCAATATGTATTTCTATGAAAATATACTTATATATGTATCTGTAAATGTATTCTATCCGTTACCCTAGTAACATAAGCCTACAGTGCTTACTTTGGGGCTAGGCTAATTAGTGTGGGTGTTGGAAATAATTATATGTTTTTTAAAAGTAGGTAAATTTATTAAAAATCGTATTTTTATGCAACATCAGTAAAAAGTATTTTTTGTAGTTCAACATCGAAACAAAGCGAATGCATACAAAAGAAGGTGTCCATAATAGAACAGCTTGAAAGTAAGCTAGATGCTGGACTCGAACGAGCCATTGCTGCTGTAGTGAGCTGGGTTAAGCTGCATCTTCAGACTGAACAGAAAAAGGCTGACTTCAAACCCGAAGGGGATATCGACACGCTTGCATCGCCGGTGAGTATAAAACTTCTAGACGACGATATTAAAAACTCCACGAGGGCTCAAAATGTGCCCCAATCAAGAACTCGCCACTTAAGCACTTCTTGGTTCATAGTCACGCGTGGACCGTTGAAAAGTCAATATAGCGCAGAGCTCCGTGAAAAAGTGCAAAAAAATAATATTTAAAGTACGCCGAGTGTCGGTTTTTCGGCTGGTATCAAATCAATGTTTTTTAATTTAACGCACTTGAAGCTAATTTTGTTCTTATACTTACTTTAAAATGAATTAATAGAAAAAAATGTAATAATCAAATGCATGATCGGTTATATAGTCGTCTCTTTCACTCGCACTCCGTGCCTGCTATATTGTAAACAACGTTTTCAGAATTAAGATATAAAATCATTAAAATAAAGTATATTCCTACGCCTTCTCTGCCGCTTCCTCCGTAAAATTTTACGAGCTTGCATTTCAAATTGTCATAGCGCTTTGACGTGTCCGTTTAAATTAAGACCTGATATACTGTGCAATGATGGTGAATTTAAATATTTCAATAATGTCTTAATTTTTTTTGGGTACACGATTATCCCACAGAGCTCCGTGGATCGTTGGATGTACCTATTGGACAGGTTTCGGCCACAATTTTGTTTGTGACGTTGTATTGTATTTAGAGTTTTAAATATTATTGTTTCTAGAAGACAGCGGAACTTAAGTTTTTGGTCACCTATCTGATGACTGGCATTTGTAGTTAGGTACGTACGTATATGTTAGTCTTTGGTCCCTATAAACGACGTAAGCCGCGGCGCGATGCTTACTATATAGTCCAGTCAAAATAGACATTTGACTAAGCCAAAATTGGCATAGAGATGAAATTCGGTAGAGACTTTAATAATATATAAATAAAAAGAGAAAAAAAATCCCCTTCGATCCTACTTCTGCAAAAATATATATCCAAGGTCAAACGTACTTAATGAAGGTTATTTCAATTTTTCTCAATAACGAATAAAGACAAGACAAAAGTTATAGATCTTACGATTCTCTTCAAAAATTGTAAAGACACTTTTTTTCGTAAGATTCATATTCGTGAGATATCGCGGTTTTAACAGTTGGAAAATTATTGGCCTCGACAAGGCGCCTTTTTTGCTATGTATCGAGAATATTGAGAATGTATATTTCTACTAGCAGCCGCTTGCGACTTTGTCCGCGTTAACTTTAGTTTTTGAAAATTCCTCAAGAATCTAACGCTTTTTCGGTATGAAAAGTATTCTAAGTCTCTATGCAGGTTATAAGTTGTCTGTGTGTAAAATTTCATCCAAATCCGTTCAGCCGTGTTTGCGTAATTGAGTAACAAAGACACAAATCCACAAACATACAAAATGTCATATTTATAATAATCATGTATTTATGAGTCTTCATTTGTATTATACAGGCATGTCTAGCTGTGGTGTCTTACTTGAACTCCGTTATGGAAAAGATTCACGCGGGTTTGGAAGAAGACAACTTGAGCGCTGTCACTTTAGAACTGGCTGTACGACTTCACCGAGTCATCTATGAGCATTTGCAGAATTTCCAGTTCAATTCAGCTGGTAAGTCTCTATTTATTTATAATGAAGAATGATAGGTATAGTATATGAGAAGGATATACTGTTGTCAAATTTAAGTTAAGGTTTAGAGAATCACACCAGAATCGACACCATTATGATATTCATCAATATTTTTTTATTACACATTACTTTGCGTTAAACTGTAAAATTGTGAGATGAGCAATGACAAACGTGGAAAACCAACCGAAAAACCTTAAAAGATTCACTTGTTACAAAATTAATAACCTTACAAGATTCCTGCATTGCTACAGTATTCAATATTGTCTACCAGGTGCTATGATAGCGATATGCGACGTGAAGGAATACCGGTCAGCGGTGTGTGGTAGGGGGGCTCGAGCAGCTCCCGCGCCCGCGCACTCGTTGTTCGACGCACTGCACGCCCTCTGCAACCTGCTGCTAGTGAAGCCGGAGAACTTGCATCAAGTGTGCGAAGGGGAGACTCTGGTGAGTGCCTCATATATTGTGTTACGGCTGCCTACTCATTGTTTTACGCGCTGCACGCCCTCTGCAACCTGCTGCTGGTGAAGCTAAAGAACCTGCACCAAGCGTGCGAGGGGAAACGCTGGTGAGTGGCTCATATATTATGACACATCCGCGCACTCATTGTTCGACGCACTGCACGCCCTCTGCAACCTGCTGCTAGTGAAGCCGGAGAACTTGCATCAAGTGTGCGAAGGGGAGACTCTGGTGAGTGCCTCATATATTGTGTTACGGCTGCCTACTCATTGTTTTACGCGCTGCACGCCCTCTGCAACCTGCTGCTGGTGAAGCTAAAGAATTGCACCAAGCGTGCGAGGGGAAACGCTGGTGAGTGGCTCATATATATTATGTCACGTCCGCGCACTCATTGTTCGACGCAATGCACGCCCTCTGCAACCTGCTGCTAGTGAAGCCGGAGAACCTGCATCAAGTGTGCGATGGGGAGACTCTCGTGAGTGCCTCATATATTGTGTTACGGCTGTGCACTCATTGTTTTACGCGCTGCACGCCCTCTGCAACCTGCTGCTGGTGAAACTGGAGAGCCTGCACCAAGTGTGCTAGCGGGAGACGTTGCTGAGTAGCTCATATATTGTGTTACAGCCGCGCACTCATTATTCGACGCGCTACACGCCCTCTGTAACCTGCTGCTAGTGAACCCGGAGAACCTGCACCAAGTGTGCGAAGGGGAGACTCTGGTGAGTGACTCATATATTGTGTCACGCCCGCGCACTCATTGTTTTACGCGCTGCATGCCCTCTGCAACCTGCTGCTAGTGAAGCCGGCGAACCTGCATTAAGTGTGCGAAGGGGAGTTTCTGGTGAGTGCCTCATATATTGTGTTACGCCCGCGCACTCATTGTTCGACGCGATGCTCGCCATCTGCAACCTGCTGCTGGTAAAGTTGCAGAATCTGCACCATGTGTGCGAGGGAGAGACTCTGGTGAGTGGCTCATATATTGTGTTACGGCCGCGCATTCATTGTTTGACGCGATGCACGCCCTCTGCAACCTGCTGCTGGTAAAGCTGGAGAACCTGCACCAAGTGTGCGAGGGGGAGACTCTGGTGATTGGCTCATAATATATTGTGTTACGGCCTCGCACTTATTGTTTAACGTGATGCACGCGCTCTGCAACCTGCTGCTGGTGAAGCCGGAAAACCTGCACCAACTGTGCGAAGGGGAGCCACTGGTGAGTGACTCATTTACTGTGTCACGGCCGCGCACTCATTGTTTTACGCGCTGCACGCCCTCTGCAACCTGCTGCTGGTGAAGCCGGAGAACCTGCATCAAGTGTGCGAGGGGGAGACTGGTGATCCTAAATTTATTCCTAAGGACTCGTTTATTGTCAGGCTTAGTTCACAAGGGTGCGATTTTTTGGGAGAGTATTTGGTAACGAATCGCTTAGTAATCAGAAACTTATATAAGTAATAGTTTGTATATATTATATACCAAAAGGGTAGAATGCTAGCGAATGGCCCACTTGAGGGTAAGAGACCTACATAGCAGTAAAATAAAGCAATACTTATACAAACTCTAGTTAGGTATGCATTTTCGTAATCGTATCGTCATCATATTTTTTTTTAAATATATTATAATCAATTGCTTTCAATTCATTGTCAAATGTCAAAACTTCAGAGTGCTGTAAATAAAATTGTAAATATAGTAATCAATTATAAATATTAAAACAACTTGGCCGAGAATTGAAAAATGTACAACCTATTTATCAATATTAAAACCTTAAGACCTCCGCCTAGTGAAATCACATTAAAATAATAAGTAATAAGCAAAATAAATTATTAAATCATTTTGTTTGAAATAGTAGGTATGTTGTAAAAGCGAGACACAATCCTCTTGTGTGACTATCTCACATAGGACCGGATAGACCCTCTTTGCATGTGACAACGTAAAATGAACTTTATTGCTTATAAGATAAGGTACATTTTCGAAAATATTATATTTTCTAGTACGCAGTTCTGTTATTTATACTTACATATAATAAAATGGTAGAAAAGTCAAAACTGTACATTGAATATTTTATTAAAAGAATACTTAGGGTGTGATCTACAATCGATACCGAAGACAAAAATATAGTTTTTAGAATGTTTGTCTGTTAGTCTGTATGTATGTCCAGGATAAACTCAATAAGTACTGCATGGATTTACTTTAAAGGACAATGGGCAAAACGCACCCAACTCCGCCAACAATGTAATTAGTATGAATCGATAGATCTATAAAAAACTAGCCTTTTTTATTATGACACCGAAAATAACTATCCTGGGAGTCAAAAGATATGACACCGTAATAAATATCCTGGTAGTCAGTAGATATGACACAATGGCATATTTAAGTAGCTGTCCGGGATAAACTCAAAAAGTACTGCATAGATTTAATTCAAATTTGGCACGAATATTATCTGTGCACGATACTCACGATAAATCGATTCAGGCTTGTATGAGTATTAAATTATGTATTGTATAATGCATTGGATTTAAGTTTAGATTAGAAAGTTCAACTTAAACTTAAATATTGTAGGTAATTTGAAATGATACAATGCAATAGGTCGAAAAGGCAATATGTCTTTAATTTAAAATATTTAGTTACAATAACATTTCCTTAATCACAAAAACCTCAATACCTGTTACAGGTTTGCTTTTCTTCCTCTTTTAAGGCTTACGTAACACATTTTGTCAGTACCGAAAGATCCATACTTTGAGAATCCTTCATAATGTTTCGAATAGTTTTTTTGCCGATTCCAAGTGCTTCTGCGACGCGAACTGGTTCGCGTCTGAAGTATTCGGATACAACCAATCCGCGTGATTGGATGTTGATTGTACGTCCTCTTTTCAATATGGTAAAACAGTTTGTACGATATAACAACAAACACCAAAATAGAGTCCAAATCGCTATGTTTGAATCAATGTAAAAAAACGAAGAGCTCAGGTCAAAGTGATAGTAAACAGAAATAGACCAAAAGAAAAGCAGAGTCGAGAAAAAATTATCAAATTTAAATGAGCGCACAGTCATCTTCACAAGATGGCAAACGAAAGACTGTGCGCTGCGCGCATAGACGATAAGTCACGTGCCACGTCTGAGACCTAACTCATAGACAATCCATTCTATACATAGAGAAAGGAAACAAATCAGTGTCGCCTATTCAAAATTTTATGTACGGCTTTGATCATACTTTTCAGTAAAGATCAGTGTTGTAACTTACACTATCATTTAATAAAAATACTGTAAATGTAACTGTTTTTGAGACGTTTTGTAATAATTACAAATTACATGCTGCTATAAATTAAGTGCAAAAAGAATAGTCGCAATATATTCTATCATATTATTTGACGCACCACATAAGGTATACATATATTTTAAGAAACACTAGGTAATGAATTATTATTTTGTTGTTTCTTTCAGTTTCATTCTATGGTCTTTCTCAAATGTCAAAACGGGTCTATTATTTTGTGATGACTTTAGTGTCCATTGCGTCCACATGGTAAGCAATTTTTGTGTCGACTATATTGTATTGGCTGTCTGTGTATTGACATCGCCACTACATCTGCAACTAAGTGTCGCGGCAGAGGACACTTCATATATACACTGAGTGACTACTTTCTGGTGTCGTCGTGTATAAATAGATGCGTGTTGCTAAGACTTTTTTGATGTGTGTGTATATGGTGAAGAGATGCGTGTTTGCAAAAATATCGATATATACTTACTACACACACTCCAAGTTTATACCAAAAGAATACTGCTTTTCTAATAAGTGAAAATTTTGCCTATAAGATATTCGAAAATAAAGATTAATTGGCCGAAAATTTCATTGAAAAGAAAAGGCTAAGCAAATGCGTTATATGCGGCATACATAAGTAGGTATATGTTTCTCTCTATTTCGACTCTATTAAAGTAATATTATTAAGCTGAAGAGTTTGTTTGTTTGAACGTGTTAATCTCAGGAACTACTGGTCCGATTTGAATAAATAGTGCATATATCGGGAAAGGCTATATAACATAACACTACGACTAATAAGAGCGGAGCACCAAAGAAAAATGTTGCGAAAAATGGAAAAAATATCCATTTCCGCGCTTCCGTTTGCATGCGCTGCGAAAACGGTCAGGTGACACACAAACATTTTGTATGACGGAATTGTGTCACTTTAAAAGTTCTATAAAAAGGTACGCGACAGCATTATGTCTATCTTTTAAGGGTAACCCACTACAACCTTTTTCCTCAAATTAATGCGGATGAAACTGCAGGGTACCTCTATAGTTCGGGGTCCCCACAATACCTCGGGAGACCCCTGCCGTGGAGCCCCGGCTAGGCCGGAAGGCTGCTGGGTGCGAAGACACGGAAGAATCCCTAAACGGGGATCCCGCAGTTTTGCACTTAGCAGCTTAGAGGGTATTCGCAGGGTTTTTAGCGTAAGGCTTGCGGGAGCCAGGTGTGAGGTCCTTTCGGCAGTGTGCCTCTTAAAGGCCCTCATCTGTAAATAGAGGTTTTGCCTGCGTCAAAAAATAAGTGCACCTCTATAGTTTATAACCTGGATTGAGACCAGTCACATGGGATACTTTTTAAACCAGAAAAATGACAGGTTCTTGATGGGTTTCTGTGGGATTGTCAGAAAACTAAAGTTAGAAAATAAACCCTTAGTTCAGATCATGCTTACAAATAGTGCAGCACTGCACTTTTATAACATTCATTGTGTGACAACGATAGACACTAGCGTATCGTAAACATCTGTTACCATAGTGTATTATGTATGAATAGGACGCGTTCGTAAAATATTCAAATACTCAAAGGTTCAGCGTCATATAACGGTCCGCTTTCGTGTCTAAGCTTAAAATAACCACAAACACGTTATCAACTGCCTGTTTCTTTCTACGCGTACGCGCGTCCTCATAGTCGGTTTTTCAATAAAAATCCTTTTTCAATTCGTCTTAAACCTTATACAAAATCCCTACCCTTATACCTTTTCACGCTTGAGCCGCTGAACCGATATATATAGAGATAGTTTGAGTCCCTGGAAAGGACATGGGCTAGTTTTTGTCCATGAAGTCATCCTTCAAGGTGGTGAAAAGGGGTGAGAGTTTGTATGGGAAACCAATCTTTACACACAGACGAAGTCGCGAGCATCCGCGAGTATAATTTAGAATTATATATGAATGTTATAAAGCATAAATTATTTAAATAATATAGACAACCGGTTTGGGCATAACTAGCGGAATTTCCTCTTGAATCACATATAGGTTTTACTATAGAAGATCACATTGAAATAACTTTACTTTTTGGTGGCGTCGCGCTTCCGTTAGTGAGTAAGTTATAAACCCCGGCAAACTTCTTGAACATCGGCCATAGACAAGGAAGCCTGCGCAGTAGCAATTTCACACAAAAAAACTATACTATGTAAAAGAAATTTTACACAAAGAATTAAGTAATTAATTAATTAAGTAGTTATACTATGTTTTGATTTTTTTGTAAATGCTTATTAAATCATTTCACTAGACGTCTTTAGTGGTGATAAAAATTTGTTTACTTTTGTTCTTTTTCGAGGTGTTCTAGTTTCTTTGAAACACAAGTTATCGAAAAAAGGAAAACATAGCAGCATATAATGGGTAAAATTATATTTTATTTATGAAAATCAATTATTTAGTGATAAATATTAAGGCGGAATCAGTCGAGAACATTTGTATGGCAAAAACATTGCGCGCCTCCCTTCTGAATAAATAAATATATAGAAAGTTAACCGAAATTATATTTTGGTTTAGGCGTTTAGGCGGCAAGCGATTATTACAAAAACCCGGCCAAGTGCGAGTCTGACTCGTGCACGACGGGTTCCGCACCATTATCTATAAAACATCAGACATTATACTAAAATATCGATCATAAAACTGCAAAAAATCACGTCTACTGTATGAGAGCCCCCCTTAAATATTTATTTTATGTTAATTTAATTATTTATGTATAAAGTGAATAAACAACTTCATATTTTATGACTATTTCAAGCGTCTACCTGCTGCCGTTATTAATATAGAACAAAAAATACATCACGGTTCATGAGATACAGCCTGGTGACAGTCAGACAGACAGTGGTATCTTAGTAATTGGGTCCCGTTTGTACCCTTTAGATACGGAACCCTAAGAATATCTTCCAACAATACTAATTTACATTATTTTTCCACAGGCGGAGTTAGACCAGTCAATTCTGCACAACTTTATTCAGCTACGTTCTGATTACAAGAGTCACAAGCTGTCAACGTTCCTCAAAGGTCTCTCTTAAATACATTACCTATTCTACATTCAAAATCAAACGTAAATCAGTATCATATATCGGGAAACATAATCTATAATCTGGTAACGAATAGTAGTAGTAGTAAGATCAATAATGGCTTAACAATTTTCTTTTCAATATTCGTAAATTAAGAAGTATATTGAACTTTATGGCAAATACGAGAAGATTTTTCTGTCAAAGGGATGATTAACTTACAAAGTGAACTTAATTCAGTTATAGTAAAGTTTTTCTTTTAAAATATGAGCTTGTTGAAGTTGTATTCGTTTCCTCCTTACAAATCATACTGATGATATATTTATTAAAACAGAAATAATTTTATGAATGCTAATTTATTACGTTTTGTATAAAATGTTATATTGTTGCCTAAAGTGTATATAGGTAAGAGCAAATGAGTATTAAATACTAATTTATTTTCAATAAATACTGTGTATGTTCTTTAAAATCTAACCTTATATCTGAGAATATTGGTTGGTTTGATATTGATAGAAAAATATAGAGCATTCTATGGAGCAGGCAGTTAATTCGCAGCTAGATAATATATAATTTATTGAAACTGCAAGTTATAATAACAAACTATCTTGATTATACTCATCATTGTCTTATCTGAGATGATATGTAAAACCAAGTTAAACGTTTCATTCTCCTAGCTGATATCAAAGTAGGCCGCACTCATCTCGCGAAAGGAACAAACAAACTTTTGAGCGCATTACTGAAATAAGAGGAGCTCGATGGCGCAGGCGTTCGGCTGCGATAGTTAAAGCTAAGCAACTTTCGCAGTGATCGGTCATTGGATGGGTGACCAAAAATCTTCTATCTCGAGTTCCTCCGTGCTTCGGAAGGCACGTTAAGTCGTTGGTCCCGGTTGCATCTGCAGTTGTTAACACCCGCCAACCCGCACTGAGCCCGCGTGGTGGGTCATGGCCCAATCTCCCTATTCCATCCATAGAGAAGGCCTGTGCCCCAGCAATGGGGACATTAATAGGCTGATAAGATGATGACTGAAATAAGGTGGGTGGACCATGGAAGGCCACTATTAACACTTAACAAGCCGATTAAACAGTTTTTATTAGTTCATTTACTGGATAAATGAAAGAACCAAATTATTAATTAACACTTTGTTTTATTGTCTCACATATATATTTTTTTATTGTTAATGTAATCACTATCTATTAAGCTTAATTTTTATTAACCTCATCCAAACGGCCTTACTAGGAACAGGAATCTATACAAGGCCAATATTTATAAATCAGTTGTTGAAATTTAAACTAGAGCTGTTGTAATTATCGAAATATCCGCTTTTACTACAACTACTTACATAAAAAAAGTCAACGAATATTCCTTGGAAAAATTATAATTACTTTTTTAAAGATTATTATTATAATATATTAATAAAAATATATTAATATACATACATATTAACGAAAATTATTTGAAAATATAGTTATGAGAGAGATAAATAAGTTGCCAATGCTTTTTGGAATGAAAATATATAGCAAAATTAGCCTATAATGACCTTTTTATGGGTCCGTTTTTTGTAAAGCCAAAATGTTTCTAAGAAGGTTAAGTTGAATAGCCCTTATAAAAAATATTATAAACATAAAACCTTTCCGGTACGTATTTATTACCATAAACTAAGTGTTCATATTTCCATGATTTATAAATGTTCTTAGTAAGATCCATATACTCTAGCAAGGCCAATCGTAAAATTTTTGATTGGTCTTATGAGGAACTACTCATAACACACAACCGATATTTTAACTGAACTCGAAGCAAAATTTTTCTTTTTTTCTTTAGTACCATAACAAATCCTTATATGACAATTACCTTACAAAAATAAGGCAAATATAGGTATTTTACGTAACAAATTTACCTTTAGCTGTGCGTGTGAATAACAATTTTACTAAGTCTTCGAAGTAAGGAACCCCAATCACAAAACATCGTCACGAGCGATTCGCCACCGCGTCTGTGTTCATGAGTTTGATGGAACTTAGTGTGAGTGAAAGGAATTTATCGTCACATGACAATAACTATGTTTTTTTTAAAGTTGGCCTTCAAAGGAGCATGGCCTTCCATGGTCCACCTACCTTATATATTCTTAACATATTTTACCATACTGACAAGTTGATTTTTTCCTAGTACATAAAATCTTTAAATATTAATTTGTATAGTGTGATATGGCGGACAATCATCTTAAACTTTATTAAGACTTAAGTCAAACACACAGTTTTTGTTCTGTGGTCGAAAACAATACATTAAATGTAAAATCCGATGGCAAATACTATTTAGTGAACAGGCCTGTATGTTATTTAATGTCTATGGAAGGAAGCAAATCAATGGCTTTAATAAAACTAGATTCCTACAAATAGGTTCGAAATTTTAAATGATTTGATTGGGATTCATTTGTTTCATTGATGTTGTATAAAATTTATTGAATGTGTGCCACTGCAACATGATGTACACAACGAATCTGTTTGCTAAAAGGGGTGTTTCAAGTATTCCGCGGCAAAGATTTTGCACGATCTTCCACCGCCTTTAAGAATAAAAACCAGCGGTCAGAATTATAAAGCGAAGTATAAACAGGCGTTAATGCAAAAACAACTTGCAGCGGAGGACCTGAGGCACGCACACTGGAAAGATTGGCCTTTGATTCGGTTTTTCCACCTTATCTAACCTTCCTAGTTTCTTAAACTTTCCATCAATTTGACGCATGTAGATACCTACACAATATACAATTATTTATAACACACACACAAACTCAGTACACTCCAGGACCCACATTTCACACATAGATATAAGAAATAAGAACATTACCTTCTCTTTTTAGTTTGTAAGAATGTATGTTTTTTTGTGTAATAGCTGGCAGTTCTTTATTACTGGCTGTGACCTGCATAACATCACAGGGAAAAGGTTGAGGCTGAAAACCAGCACGGACCAGGGTAAACCTTGGCTCCGCTTACGCTGAGCCTCGTCCTCTTGCCTCCGCTTACGCTGAACCTCGTCCTCTTGCCTCCACTTAATTTTATTTTAAGATACATACTTGTAATTTTGGTTTTCCCATATATAGTACGTTTTAATAAGTGTATTATAATTTGGAGGCAATAAAACAGTTATTATTATTATTTATTATTGAATACCATCTACATAAGCCGATTTTAGGTAACAGACCTGTATGAAAGATTTCGAAACCGTGTTTCGTATTTCACCTACATCAGAATGTCTGCAGTGGACACTGGAAAACGGCTCTGCCGTATCGTTATGGCTATTGTATAATGCTTGCACAGCGTCTTATCAGCGGTATCTATACGGGCACTACGTCCATTCATGGCTCCCCACCACCAGGCGGTTTATTTGAATGAACGCGCGTGTGTGCGTCGCGTCGCGAGCGCACCTATACACCGCACAACTGTCAGTGTCGAACTGACTCGCCGGCAGAAAGCTCGTGCCGTGTCACCGCGTCCCGTATAAACCGCGCTCAAACAGTGCTATGCCCACAACCTGTGTGTAAACCCCACGTTACGTTATTCCACTGTGTACTGTGCTTATAACGTTAATCTGGATAATATCAAAATTGAAAGGTAAGCTTTCGATATGTTTATTTTCATTCAAGCAGGCGCGACGCCTACGCGCCGAGCGCTGTCGCGATTTGTGAGCGACGAATTTACATGATGTAGGGTTCATTCATTAAACGTTTGGCCGTATTTATATTATTATCGGGGCATACGTGTGATGTGAATGGGCGATTAGGGCGCATATGAGTTGGTTTGCAAGAACTCGATTCATTGTGACGATATAGTGAGTTATCGGCCGCCTAGCGCGGTACGGACGGTCCGGCTTTGGATGTGCGTTATCTAGGTGAGGCCGAGGTGTGCGTTCCATTTCGAGTGTTGTTTTTATCCCAGGGCGCTACCTGAGAGTCGGTTGGGCTCGCTCGCCGCAAGTCGATACAAATAATGGCATCGCATAGCAGAATAACCACATCTCCGGACGAGTTGCAATTCCATCACTTTTTGTTAAGTTCTTTTCGTTTGTCATTCTCGGTTCATAAAGTTCGAATAACAAAGGTTTATGGCTCATTAATTGACGCTGTTGGTATTGAAATCGTAAATGGGAATAAATAATATGCCCTGCATAAATATAGAAGTGATAACGATATAAAGAAAGATACCTACTTTATCATGTCATCTTTATCTTAACATAGGTAACATGTTTATCTGGCGTTTCTCCAAGCAAATGTGTACTTTCCTATTCTATATTAAGATTGAAGAAAGGTAGGACACAGCGGATATTCCGCTCGTATTGGAGCTCCCGTCTGGGGAAGCAACCTCTATCTCAGAAGGCCACAATAATGTAACACTACCTTTTGGTCGTGTTGTGTTTCTGCTGATGATTAGGGTTCCTGGGCACCACGGGATTCAGACCGGCAAGGTGAGGATGGCTGGTGTGGGACACGTTCTGCCGCATCATCTGTCTTCGCAACTGTACCCTTAGCACGAATCAATATCGAATTCGTATCGTTTGCAAACCGAAATGTCGATGTCAAATTTTGTATGGAAACTTGAACAGCAGCTGCACAAAGTACGTAACGAGAACTAAAAATCAGTACACATTTGACAATGACATTTCGGACTCGCAAACGATTCGAATTCGATTTTGGTTGGGGCTAGGGGTACTGGACTCCACTTACACTTAACATCAGGTGGAATATGGTATTTGTTGCGCCTCGTATAATAAAAAATACATAATAATATGCGTCAGTGTAACCAAAATTTGCCTTGACTGCTTTGCAATTAAATATGTGAGAAAAGGAAACGAGGGAGTAACCACCACCTTACTGAAGACTGCACTAAGTAAGTTGTCCATAGCACCACGGTGATATTATTAAGTGTCGCAGGCATCTAAACCACCTGATTCCTACTAATTTATAGTTTGTATGTCTGTTAGTCGATCACACAAAAACTACTGAACGGATTTTGATAAAATATGGTATGCATCTAGCTTATGACCTAGATTGAGGACATTGGATTGAACAACATGGCGTCACCTGGTGGACATTCGCCTAATGGGATTGCTTTGGAAAACGCTATCGCTTAGATTTCATTTTATTATTTCTGACCGCCGAAGGTTTTCAAATACCTCACACTCATTTTCTTTAATATTGTTATTAACAATGCAAAAGAAAAATAAGAGCGCGAGGCATTTGAAAACCTCAGTTGGCTAGAAATAACAAAATGAAATCGTAAGCGATAGCGTTTTCAAAGCAATCCGGTTAGGCGATTGGCCCCCTGAACCTACCATATATTTGGAATTGGTTTGGCCTAAGATATTATTCTGAAACAATTAAAGAAACCGATAGCGTTTTCAAAGCAATCCGGTTAGGCGATTGGCCCCCTGAACCTACCATATATTTGGAATTGGTTTGGCCTAAGATATTATTCTGAAACAATTAAAGAAACCGATAGCGTTTTCAAAGCAATCCGGTTAGGCGATTGGCCCCCTGAACCTACCATATATTTGGAATTGGTTTGGCCTAAGATATTATTCTGAAACAATTAAAGAAACTCGTCGCGTACAATAGGTGTATACCTGAAGTATTAGGTACCATGATCGTCAAGAGCTTTTATTATCCACCTGCACGCCAAAAGTTTACAGCTGAAGTGTTCTATAAGTATTTAACTTGCTATCCCAGTTAAGCATCTGCATAACTTATGCAAATATAAATTGCAACTTCTCAATGTAGGAGTCAGACAGGTAGGTACCTAAATAAAAAGCTCGCATACTTTGATTTTTAAACAATTTTTTGCATTAATAACTAATCTTTCCTCAATTGAAACTCCTTCGCCAATGATAATAAAAAATATGAATTTAAGAAAGTCTTCAATTACCACCAGATATGACATTCAAATAAGTTTACTAATAAAGAAATTACTTTCAGTTTTGTAATAACAGCATAAAAAAAACAGTTCGGATTAAGATTTGAAACACAATTTTTCCCTATAATAATATTTTATTATCATTTCTTTATTTATTTGGTAGACGTTTAAACCAAAGAAAATATTTACTAGAAAATAAAGTATTTGGATAATAAGTAGATATTCAATACGTGAATTTAATTTTCACGTTGCCCAGACAAAACTTAGGTAAGATTAAAATCGAGTGCTTACTTAGGATCTAAGAGAAAAAATGATAAGACTTTTGACTGGAATCTGTAAGTTGGTTACGATACATACTACCTATGTTTACGTTTAAAATAGTTTCATTTCATATAGGCATGAGAACTTTTCCTTAAAATGTTATCAATGAGAACTTAAATCTTTTCTACGTATTTACAACAAGGGGCTTGACTCAATTCTTGTGAGTCACAACAAATGTAATTGGACGCTTATAACATCTGATATAATCGTCATTGTGAAACAAATATTGCGGAAGTTTATGGCATTTTAGATAGAACAATATTGACTATGCTCTAGGAGTCTGTCCGTCTTTCACGGACACGGAGCGTTTTTTCCCCTTATTGCGCTAATTTGATATTTTTGCTCGAATGAATGAATACAAATAACACTAATGTTACAGCTTATGCATTTATTATATTTTTGAAGTGAAAACTTCTTTGGTATCATTGTGACTTGAGATGACCACAACCACTCTGTCAAGTGTGCACGACTAGGAAGAAGGTGCCTAACTTTTTTATTAATACGGCTCTGGTTTTTGGATTTTATCAAAAATCGCTACCATTCCAATGCATTTTTTACAGTAATTGTTTATAAATAAATATTTCGTAAAAACCTAATATAAAAAAATATAACAAAAGATATAAAATTAAAAATAGCTGGTAAAAAATAAAGCCGCGGGCGGCGCGGCAATCGAATCTTCATCCCGATACAAAACTTTTGTGTGTCTTTTATAAATCAATAAAGAAAACAAATTTAAAAAAAAATTTGACCAGACAGCTGACGGTCTGCTGTCACTGTCGCTGCCCAGCGAGTTCGAGACTACATTGAATTTAAAATACGAACTTAAGTACCCATTGGATTGTATTTTTTTTTTATCGTGTAAAGATTCGAGAATTTTAATAAGTAAAGCCTTGGCCTTATCAATTAATTAACTGAAGCACCTACACCATATTTACTTAAACTTAAGAAACAATCAAAATATAGTCAAGAGGCACAAGACGGCACTGATTGACTTAGGTTGGTACTCCTGTTGATTAGGCTTTGTTTTAAGTCATCAAAGAATTAACCTTTTAAATAGAGTACATAAGTTATCTCACCATGTGATGAAAAGAAGACGATGAATTTATTTTTATCTTGCTCGATAAGTAAATTGTGGATTCATTACACCGCAACGGAACAAATAAAAAAAAGATGATCGAAGAACTATTAACTCACTAATTCTTTTCAAACTTTACAGCTGTTGTCATCCTTCTATATGTTATGCTGCGATTTTCACAAATTTTGGCAGGCTGTTAAAAGGGTCTATGGTTACTTTTGTATAAAGAAAATAATAATATAAACAAAAACAGTTTTTTTTTTATTAAGGTAGGCAAATGACTCTACCCCACCTGTGGTAATAACTGGTACAGCAGTTATAAACTGCTACACCAATCATCCTCACCTTGCCGGCCTGCAAAAATGCTTCTTCACGTCTCTCTTAAAGGACCCTAGATTATAGGAAGAAGGGAACACTTGCGCGGGTAAAGAATTCCACTTACGAATAGTCCGACAAAGAAATGAGTCACCAAATTTCTTTGTTCGTGTAGGAATAGTGGCCACAGTAAGTCGGTGGCATCGTAGGCCAGCGCGCGTGGTCCTCTGAAGAAAAGGTGATGGAGGGATAAGGGAGAATAACTCCTCAGAACACTCGCCGTGGTATAGTCGATAAAATGCGCTTAATGATGCCACATCGCGGCGTAATTGTTAATTATTGTTATTTAATTATTTTAGAATGTCACAAAAACTTAAATCAAAATAAATCGCTAAATGCAAATTAGCTTAGTTTTGTATACCGACTAGATTTTTATAGGTAATCCCCCCATACAGGACTAAGGCTCGTATTACAGAATGACAACTAAGTGTTGATATTTACTGGAGTACAGTTAGAAAGGGATGTCACTAAATATCAATACTTAGTTGCCATTCTTTAATTATATATCATATAATATAATCATAAACGAGGCTTAGAGTCAGAGAAAAGGTTGAATGCAGCAACTGCTAACTTGTCCAGTGCATCTA